GTACTCACATCATAGAGAGAGATGAAGGTAAAAATATAGACTTGGAGAGAAAAAGTGTCCTTGGATCTCATTTATGTTTTTCAATTTCTGTTAAAAAAAGACTTTTTCCATGACCTAAATGACCAGTAATTATGTATTTTTAAATACATATTGCATAAAATACGAGGAAGTGGTTGCAAGCAACAGTTCATTTATCATTTCTTAGGAGTCGGGGCATGTAAAGATTATTATTTTTTTAATCTTTCAGCCAGTTTGGTACAGAACATAATGCTGTAGGAACAAAACTTAACTTTAAAATAAATTGCATGAGTGTATTTTCATGTTRCCATTAATAAATGAGCAAACAAAGATTTCAAACATTATCTTTATCTGATGAAATTCCAAAGATGGCGTTTTTAAACATCAATTTTTAGACTCATTAAGATCTTTGTAAAGTGAAARTCAACAAGTTGCCTCCAAATAAATGAACCAAAGCAATAAAAGATATTTTGTTTTCAAAGATAAACGTAAATTTTGGGGAATTCACCTTTTGTCACAGTTGTAGCATGAAGAAGAGCTTGTTATTGGTGTCCCAATTTTTAACAAGTGCAAAAATAGGTGGAGTAAATGCATCACCCTCATTTTCCTCACATCTTCTACCAAGTTCGTTTGGGAAAATAAGGTAAGAGCCGATGGCTGAACTATGGTTTTCTCTGTAAGATTAGGGCTGCGCGGTATATGCGGTAGACGGTAGAAACAGTATGAAGTTCGCCTACGGTAGAAATTTATACTCTACCGTCTTATCGTCATTACGTCATCGCACCTGTGTCAACAGGGCTGCGAGTGCAGAGACACCTGAGCAGGAGTTCAAAATATAATGACGAAATCCTAGTGTTTTAAAACACGTATGGAGAGGATAAATCCTCAAAATTTCCTCCTCTCACTGTAGAAAAGTTACGGACGTCGTGTCGCGGGATCATTTCCTCCCTCCCTCTCCTCTCGCTGCACGTCGTGCAGAGCAAAGCTTTAACAACTGTAGTTTTTCACACCCAATTGTTGGAGAAAAAACTTGTTTTTTATGTTTTGTTACCCACAGAGATTATTTTTTAAAAAGACGTGGAAGTTCGTCCAGTCGTAAATCCATTTTGCTAATGTAAAACCGGCTTCTGCTCTGATGATGAAGATGATGAAGATGAGCGCGCAGCAGAGCAGCAGCTAAGTTCAGCAGGGAGAAACTCATTGTTTGGCAAGCAGATATTAAAGCAAAAACAGTGGGTTTAATTAAGATTACAGTTTTCTGCAAAAAAAAATGCTCTAAAAATTACATTATCTTAACTTTTTATGATAATTCTCTACCGCGATATACACCGTTACCGTGAAGGGGTTCAATTTATACCGTGATATGAATTTGGTCATACCGCCCAGCCCTATATCGGCCCAACCCCCATTACTCGTTGTTTTCATTTCATTTTGATGTACAGTGAACAAGCCGAAAAGAAGCACGGTGCTGGAATACTTCACGTCGCCTGAAAAGCTCTCTGATTAGATGGCTGCTTCTCCRTCCCCATATCTGAGCGAGAAAATTGCTGGTAAATCAGAGGCTGTAAATGTGAGGTTTTTTTCTTCAAATGCTATACTGGATGTCTGGAGGCTTTTCCATTTCGGCACAAAGATCAAAATTCCACCTACGCTGCATACAGAAAGTGAAAATTTGTTGCCAAATCATCCTCCCTACAGCAGATGCTGCTGATTAGAAAATTTGGTGAGATGACAGTTTAGGGCAATAAATAAATCAAAAAAGATCAAACAGAATTTCAYTCTGAACATTTTTTCTCAAAGCTTTGATAAGCTTCAACCACTCTAATAGTATTACCATTCAAGAAAGTGTAAATAAGCTGTTTTATATRGTATTAAAGTAAAAACGGCACAGATGTAACTTGGGATGATTCATGTCCCTCAAGCTTCACTGGGATCACTTTGTATTTTGTCCAAATCTGTGATTTATTCCTGTTACATTTTCAGCATTCTGAAAGCAGTCGATCTGCTCTCCCATGTGGGTCAACATCTCACACACATGAACAAATGACCTTTTTTTCTGAACAGCAGAGTTCCACTGCAGCGTGAAAATCATTTTAATACTACATTTACGGGGGAGAGACTGTTATTGCTGTGCACCGACTGCAGAAGGGCTACAGCAGGTCAGTGTAGCATCGTGAACATAAATTCTAAAGATCTGTTAAACCAGCAGCAGGAACCAACRTCAGAATTCCTGCAGAAATCATTCATGACGTTTAAATAGATGATTATAGTAAACTTGAGAAAGCTTACTAAAAAGTCAAAGATTTCCTAACTTTTAAAAGTTTTACTAGACCCTAAATTTTASTTTTAGTCATTGTGAGATATTTAATTTCAAGATTTTATATCTAAAAACAGTGAAACATCATAAATAAATGATACATCCTTTCAGACAAGAAGACAATCTTACCGTCTGTAGGAAGGCTAGCATGGCAGCAGCTGGAACGCTGTGTTTAAATGATCGCGCCTAAAGAGGAGAGCAGAATAAACCAAAATTAAAAACGATGAGGAAAGAATGAGAGCAATCTCTGCACGTGCTTTCACAAAATATTTTTAAGATGACCAACAACAGATTTTTCAGATTTGTTTTGGGTGTTTTATGCATCTAGACTGATTGAACTCTTACTCTGTTTCTGACAAGGACATATTTTCTGTTTTTTTATTTATTTTTTAAAATCTCATTTACCTTTTTGTAGCATTTTCCTGCATATAAATAATCATTTCTGATTAGATTTCACTTGTTCCCATGACTGCTCAGAGAAAGGAAGAAAACTTCCACTTTAACTTCAGATTATTTCTAAGGATTTTGCATGGAACTTCCTTTGTGGCCCTAATTAACATCTCTCACACCAACCCCCACCAGACTTCCTGACATCTTAATGTTAATAGATAAGAATTGCCACATTCCTGAACCCCACAAGTTGGAGTGACCATAAAGACTGCCTGTTCGCTCCTCTTCAAAGGGATCATAAATGCCTTTAACCAGACTCTTCAATGACTGAGACAAAGGACCTACATTCTTCATTAAATGTGAAAAAAAGAGAACAAGATTGAATGTTTTTATCCAACTGTCTGTTTTCATATATCTTAATCAAAGAAATTTGATTTACTTGTTTCTCTTTCCAGAAAGAACAAAACCCATTGAAGCTACTTAACTGTCTGCCCACTAAGGACTGTGTGGTAACTGTGTATTGTGTTTAAATGTTTTGATGAAATGTTTTCCTGAAGAAGATGTGTTTTATTCCATGATTTAATCCTTAGAAACTTTAGGACTTGAATCTTTAATAATTAAGTGTGACACTCTTATTTTACTGAGGCAAGCAGATGTCTCTCCCTTTAATTAGATGCAAGATAATTAAACTAAAACACTCCCTTTTTCTTTGTCCTGAAGTAAAGTTTTCCCTCCAAAACAGATTTGATTTGTTAAAACTTTTTCTGTATATGGTGTAACATTTTTATTGGCCAACTAAAACCTTAACTCCGCCCATAACAGTGGTTTTAAAAAGCTTAGCGCACTCCCAATCTCTAAGAAGACAGAGGAAGACAAAGAAAACCGACAGAGAAAGAGTTTTTCAACATCTGAAGTCAGAAACAGTTTTCCAGAAGCTCAGCAGAGGCCCTRCCTGCCAGCCCCTCCCCATGGGCTGGGCAGGATGGTGGTCCTTCTGCATCTCCCGCTGGGTTGAACCAACAGCCGCCGTTTAATATCGACTCAACATCTGAGTTTGATTTTATAGAAGTTAAATAAGCTAACTGTAACTCATGCGTCATTTTAGTTTGTTTTTCTCTACAAAGTTGAAATCAAATTAAGAAGTCTTGCAGCCGCTTGGGAAGGACCGGACCCCGTTGTCACCAGCTCACCACCCACCTTTCTGACTGAAGGACCAGCAGCTGAACAGACACMMTGAGTGTCCGACCGGCCACTACACTGAMGCARTTCTTTGGGAACATCACCTGAGATCCTTCGGTCAGCCGACGACTACTTCTGGTACCGCCATCAGCAGAACAAAAGGGTAAAAGTGAACACTTGTCTTGGTGACACACAGGTGCTCAGACGTAATTTGATTCTTATCTTTGTATGAGATTTGGTAAACTAAACGATTTCTCCCCTTAATTTAACTAAGACCCCCTTAGTTAAATCCTCARCTAAAAGCAAACTCACMTCACCTCACTCCAAGCCTCAAACTCACCTCTCAGTGYTTATTTTATGTTTATTTGTTGTTTGTTTATTTGTTTGTTTGTTTTGTTGTTACTCACTCGTGATTGCAAACTCTTTCAGTTCTACATGGTTCAATTATGTCACCACTCATTCCTCACCATAGTCGTAAACACATTTAATCTGTAAATAAATGGCCCGTGGAGAACGTGCCAACATAAGCTAATCTCATTTTTCTGTCTTGATAAAGTATTACTAGTTATGATAAGACAAGAACTCATCAAAGCAATTTGGGTACATTTATTGTGAGACTGATTACAATAAAGTTACAGATTTTCGTCTCGTTCCTGGGTTAATCCTTGACCAAATTAAGAGCGTGGTGCCTCGAGGTAAGATAATTTGTGTATTTAAATAATTCATAAATTATCCATTTTAGAATATACCCAAAACCCCTACACTTTTAATGGAGTGAGACAGTGAGTAAAATTTCATTTAAAAAAATCATACAGTTTCTAGCAATTTATTCAAAGTTTCTAGCAATTTACTCAAATCAACAAATTTGAGAGAAAGTAAAAAAAGTGTCAAAAGAAATTTAATTAAATAAAAAAATGTTTTAAATTGAATAACTGCATTTTGTAAGATACTACCAGGGTTAAACAGGTTAAAAAGAGGCATTTTGCTTCATTGAATGAGTTATTCTTTCTGTCTGAAAATRTTCAAAGGTTTTTCCTATAAATTTGCCTGTTTTTCCCCCAACTCAGTTTGAGTCTAGAACCTTTTGGACCTTTTTGTTGTTGAGCCTCTTAACACTGACCTATGAATCACTCAAGCATGAAAACAAACCAAATGGGGGGTAAACCAGTGTTTTGTCAACACATAACTGACAATTTAGCAAACATCTAATACTGAATTGTCTGTCTTGGCACTTTAGGCACTTTCCTGCCATTTGTAGTAAAAAACAAGTAATTTCTTCCAATTTCTTCAGTTGAATCTACAAAAATGCCCAAGACAAAACCGTTTGAGAGACATAGAACAATAATTTTGCTTCCAAAAAGGGAAAGTCAACCAACAGTTAGCTTTAAATAGGCGTGCCTCCACCTATCTAAACGTTATGCTCTGAAGACAATAAAAGGACCTGAATGTGGTCCCTTAATTCAGGGMTATTCAACTGACGGCCTTTGGGCCACATCCGGTCCGCAATTTTTTTCTTTACTTGTTTAATATAAAAATAGATTTTAAATCAACTTTACATTTTAAATCTATGATTCAATACAAGATAAACATAAAAGGTAAAATAATGCTTAATAATAAAATAATGATATTATTAATAAAATAATAATACTACTTGCTCTTCTATATAATGTAGTTTTCCCCTACGCATCATAAACCCAAATTCAGAATTTACATATAAAACTACAAATTCAGAATTTACATATAAAACCATTGTCAATATGTACAAAGCAAGTTAAGACAAAGTAAACCAGTGACTGTTGTAAATTGTTTGTAAAACACGGTGATGGATCTAAAATGGTATGGGGCTATATTTCAACCTGTGGTACTGTAGAACTTCACATCAATTAAGTTATAAACAAAGAAAAGTACAGTTAGATGTTGTTCTACCCTGTAGTACTTTTTCACTCAGTCAATGTAGTAACTGTATTAAAAAGTGAACAAAAGAAAAAAAATTCAGTCTTGAATTAGTTTTACCAAAGCCAGTTATTAACATTACTGAAGTACTTTGGGATGACAGTGAACACAGTATTCAAAGCTCTGAATGCTCTTTGGAGAAATACTTCAATAAACTATTCAAGTAAAAGATAAAAATGATAACAAATCTACAGTTTTTTTTATTTTGCATTTGTAAATGAAGTTGAAATCATTTTATTTTTTTCCCCTGGAGTTAAAAAGGAATAACAGATAGCTCAAACTGTCACACAGCTCTGTAGTAAGAGAGCAAAAATAAAAACAGCACTTAACCTCTCTGTCCATAAATAATCTTGTTGACATGAAGAACCCATATGCTCACAGTTGAGTGGTTTCATCAAAAGTGCAAACAGACTCAAAACAGAGTCTCTCCATTAACTGTGAGAATGAGCTTTGTCACAGCAGAAGTTAAACTTGGTGATTGTTTCACTAAGTAAACTCAAGATGGCGTCAGCAGGATTCTGGAATCAGGTCAATAAAGAAGAAAGCTGTTAAGTGCAAATGTGCTTTTCTTGTGATGAGTCAAAACGTCTCAAAGAGAGAATTAATACTCAAATACAAGCAAAATAAAACAACCGCAACTTATCATCTGCTCCATATGGGGTACAAGGATTAAGCTTCTCCTTTGCCAGCCCTGTTTGAACAATGGAAATTAGCTAACTAATTGGCAAAGTTTTTTCTTCTTGTATCTTCACACGCATTTTGTATACTTTGATGTATACTTTGGTCTCGCTTTGAATGGGTTTGTTTTATTAGCTTGAAGCAATACAGAGAAACAACAGTTGCTAAGTTCATGTTTGCCTTACCTCCTCACCCACCATCTTTATTCTAGCTTCGAAATTGACTGATCATATGTCAAAGCTCAAGTTCAAGTTCAAAAATCTTTCTTATCCCTGAGGGACATCTTGTTATTAGACATAAACATTCAGACTACACAAGACATAAAATCATTAAAGTAACAGTACAAAAAAACCAACTATTGTTTGTTAAGAAGTCTGATTACTGCAAGGATAAATTTGTTTTTTTTTGTCTAATAGTTCCACATCTGGGCAACAGATACTACCTACACCCAGATGGAAGTAAACTGAACAGTGGGTGATCAGGGTCCACCAGAATCAATCTGGCCTTTTTTACTTTCCTGACCTTGGGAAGATCAGTGAGGTTTGGTAGGGCTGTGCCTGCAATTCTGCTGCATATCCTGATAACCCCCAAAAGTTTGTTCAAAAGGCAAAAACGACCCTCTGATGTCATAGTTGTTGGTGGGTTAGAAATATTTGAATAATTTGTTTCTGATAGATGTTAATAATGGGATCAGTTTTCGTAATGGTATATGATAAGTCTACACTGAATTTGGGGTCTCAAGTAAAACCATCACAACATTTATAAAAGTTAAATTATGATAACACAATAGGGCTGCACAATATATCATTTGAGCATTGTCATCGYGATGTACATGTGCGCAATTGTCACATTGCAGGTACTGCGATGTATGAGGCATTGTGTTAACGGTCATATGTTACAGATTTTACTTTAATGGTTTGCCTCCGATAACAAGAAACTTTCATTTTGTTGTAAAACTTCTGGGACAATAAATTCCGGGCAGTGTT